CCTGACCTCATTAGATTATGAGCTCTTATGGGAAGGTGTGTATCACATTTGCTTTTACAGATTGCACAGTACTTGTTAACAAGATCTTTAGTTAATATTTGTTCCCTGGGTAGATTTGTGATTTTTTTAATTGTAGTTTTACTTCCAAGTATGAACTCATAAATTATCTTTTGGCATCTAAGGTATCTATAGGGCTTCTAGGAACCCCTATAGATACCAAAATTTGTAGCTGCTCTGATCTCTTTTATAAAATAGCGTAGTACTACGTGTATATACATCCTTGTATTTACTTTAAATCATCTCTAGCTTATAATACCTAATTCAGTGTAAATGACATGTAAATAGTTACGCTATATTTTAAAATAATTGTGATATTTTATTGTTCTTTTTTGTTTTTGTTTTTTCCCAAGTATTTTTTTTAGTTGTTTTTCAAGAATCAGAAGAACACAAACTTCCCAAGTATTTTTGATCCACAGTTAATGAATCTGCAGATCTATAGCTTGGAGATAAGGAGGGCCAACTATATTTGATTATACAGGGTATTCCCAAAGTTAGTGTGCATTTTTAAAAATAGTGTGCACTGCACATGAACTTTATGGACACCCTGAATTGTAGGTATACCTTGGAGATATTGTGGGTTCAGTTTTGGACCACGGTAATAAAGCAAATATTGCTATAAAGTAAGTCACGTGAATATTTTGGTTTCATAGTGATATAAAAGTTAAATTTATACTGTATGTAGTCTATTAAATGTGTAATAACTTTAAGTCTAAAAAAATAATGTGCATACCTTGATTAAAAATACTTCATTTGCTAAAAAATGCTAATGATCATCTGAACCCTTAGCAAATCTTTCACATTCTTTTCACTGGTGGAGGATGTTGCCTTGATGTCAAGGGCTGCTGACTGATCAGGGTAATGTATGCTGAAGTTTAGAGTGGCTGTGGCAGTTACATAAATGGATGGTGAAGTTTGCCTCATCAATTTAATTTTTATTTACTTTTAACAAAAAATTTCTCTGTATCATGTGATACGGTTTAATAGCATTTTACTCACAGTAGAACGTCTTTTAGAATTGTGGAGTCAGTCCTGTCAAATCTGCCACTCCTTTATCAACTAAATATGTGTAATATTCTAAATCCTTTGTTGTCATTTTACCAATGTTCATAGCTTCTACACCAGGAGTAGATTTCATCATGAGAAGCCATCTTCTTTGTTCATCTATAAGAGGGAACCCCTCATCTGTTCAGATTTTTATCATGATGAAGCAATTTAGTCTCATCTTTAGGCTGTGCTTTTTTTTTTTTTTTAAATTTTGTTTTCAACTGGTTTTCACTCATCTTAGTTTGAAGTTTTTTTTTTTTTTTTAATTTATTTTTCTTTTCTTCCTTTAGTGGATTGTCTTGCCCTTAGCCTCCCAAGTAGCTGGGACTACAGGTGCCCGCCACAACGCCCGGCTTTTTTCCGGTCTCACTCTGGCTCACTCTGGCTCAGGATGGTCTCGAACCTCTGAGCTCAAGCAGTCCACCCGCCTCGTCCATCTACAGTGTTAGGATTACAGGCGTGAGCCACCATGTCCTGCCTAGGCTCCACTTCTAACACTAGTTCTCTTGCTATTTTCACCACGTCTGCAATTACTTCCTCCACCAAAGTCTTCAAATTGCCCCCCTCCCCAAAGTCATCCATGAGTGTTGGGATCAGCTTTTTCCAGTCTCTGGTTACTGTTGATATTGTGACCTCCTCCTGAGAATCATGCATATTCTTGATGGCATCTAGAATGATGAATCCTTTCTAGAAGGTTTTCAACTTACTTTGCCCAGCTCCATTAGAAGAATCACTATCTAGGGCAGCTATAGCCTTATGAAATATATTTCTTAAGTACTAAGAATTACAGATCAAAATTACTCCTTGTCGTGCTGCAGAATGGCTATTGTATGGCACAAAAGCAACATTAATGTCTGTATACATCTCCATTGGCGCTCATGGGTGACCAGATGCATTATCAGTGAGCACTAATATTTTGAAAGGAATCTTTTTTCCTGAGCAGTAGGTTTCAATATTAGACTTAAAAAATTTAGTAGATCCTGTGCTGCCATCCAGGCTTCGATGTTCTATTTCTAGAGCACAGACAGAATAGAGTTACCATAATTCGTAAGGGTCTTAGAATTTGCAGACTACTAAGTGAGGCATTTCATGGAGCTTTATTTCCTCTACGTATTGGCATTTCCAGGTAGTGGTTTTCTCCAGTACCTAGTTTGAGATACTAAGCAGTGAATTCACTGCCATATTGTTCTGCAAATTGTGAGGAACCCAGTCTACCTGGCTGATCTACCTGTTTTTCTCTACCTTTCAGAACTTTTTTGTTTATTTTTAAATATGTAACATCCAGAGATTATGACTGTACTTAAGAGAAATAGAGAAACATATAGTTCCTCTCTCCTAAGAAAATCCAGATGTGAGGCATTTTAAGGGATTATAATGTACGTCTTAAATAGTTGCTTATAAGTAAAGTTTATCCAGTCTAAGCCCTCACAATTATAAAAGTTTTTTCTTTTAGTGATGGTATAGGAATAGCTTTTTTCTTAAGCAGCTCTTACAAAGCCAGTGTTCAGAAAAATGTAATAATAGTTAACCATTTTTTTTTGTTGTTTATTTTAAAGACACAGGATTTTGGTCTGTTGCCCAGGCTGATGTACAGTGGTGTCATTATAGCTAACTGCATGCTCAAAGTCCTGACCTCCCGCAGTCCCCCCAAAGTGCTGGAATTGTAGGCAGAACCACAGCCTGTAATGTTAGTTACCTTAACAGAAGAATAGATATGCATTCCTTCTAACAGGTGTAATATGCATAGTTATTACCCACCTCCTCCCCCGCTTTTAAGTTATGACTAACTTCTTTTTTTTTTTTTTTTTTTTTTTTGAGATGGAGCCTCAAGCTATCCTCCCTGGGTAGAGTGCCATGGCATCACGCTCACAGCAACCTCCAACTCCTGGGCTCAAGCAAATCTCCTGCCTCAGCCTCCCAAGTAGCTGGGACTACAGGCGCCCGCCACAACGCCTGGCCATTTTTTTTGGTTGCAGCCATCATTGTTGTTTGGCGGGCCCGGGCTGGGGATTCGAACCCGCCACCTTAGGTGTATGTGGCTGGTGCCTTAGCTGCTTGAGCCACAGGCGCAGAGCCAAGTTATGACTAACTTCTGAAGGTTAAGATAACACGTTAGGTTTAAGGTTGCTTATCAGAACAGTTGACTAGTTGTAGGCATTTCCTGAATGTTGGACTCTGCTCACAGATGAGTTTCATGTAAAAGGGTGCAGAGTCTTATCACCTGAGGAGGTGGAGGAGGAAAAGGGGAGGAGCAATACCAAAGGTACATTTGGTAGTTAACTTTGCAGGTGTTGAGAAACAGAGTGTGGAGAAAGCAGAAAAATGTCAGTGCAGTGGTAATCAAAAGAGAAACTTAAAAATATTTTTATTTGTTGTACCTAAAGAGTATTAACAGGGATAGTGTTTGTGGATAGGGGACTTTATTCTGTGAATAGCAAAGCAGATTTCTTGTGAGCTCTTTAGAGATTCTGGAGGTGGTACAGCTTATTATATAGCGTATTTATTCTGATAATATTTTTACTTTGGTGCTTTAAAAAACAAATGGATATTTTCATAGAAGATGTCTCAGGTGCTGGTAAGTGAATTGCTAGTTACTTATATTTTTAAATTTAAAGTGAAATTTTGATCTTGTGATTTGAGAATGTGTTTTAGGCTTTTTGATACACATATAATAAGAAGGAAGAAAACAGAA